TTGCAAAAGGGTAGGGCGTGCGGGTGACAGACCAATCACAGAGTGGAGCAAAGTGCAATGGTAAAACAATCAAATATTACCCCTCCTTTTAAAAAATAAATAACATAGCATACATTATTGCGTCTTCTACCTACTCGCGCTGAAAATGTCGTAACGTACTCAGTAATTGAGAACAATCGTTGAAACAACTAACTTCCGAAAGAATCGCCAAGTTTCATCCCTAAACGAAACAGCTTTTCTTAACCACAACTTTTGCGTTTTTGTTCAAAGCGCATTTCTAAGAGGTAGTAATTCTGAAACTAAATACAAAAACCCAAAAAGAAGCGAGATATTTGCCGTCGAATAGTTCACTGATCTCGTTCACTAGAAATCTTCCGTTACCTTCTAGAGATAACAGAGTAGTTCAAGAGATCAGAGGATGACCTGAATTACAATCGTGATGATAGTGATGATGATAATAACAGTCATGAACCGGCAAACATTCACGCGATGAGAGTAATGGAAATGATCGACAACAACTTCTCCTTGTCGGCATATGTAAACAATCCTTTAGTACATTTTTAAACGCCAATAAATCGAGGAACACTGTGCCATTGTTCCGAGCTTCTAGTTGATCATCCTGAACGAATTGTTTTGCCTCAGTCTCATTTTTCATTGTCTGACTCAAATATATGCGTTGAACTGTCTTTATTTGTGTTTTCGATGTCTGAAAACGGTGTTCGTATCTGACTGTGTGACCGCCCTACCTCTCAGTTGGGGCAATCACAGTTTGACTAAAGAGCGACATAGATGTAGACTATTTATGAGCCTTTGTCACTATCGCGTAAGGAATGTCTTAGTACCGTCAACTCATGGTAACTCGTAGGTTTTTTCTTTTACTTGAGGGATAAAAGTTAACGATCATTAACATCGATGACATGGGATGTAAGGATTCTTGACAAAGCAACACTAATTATGAGTGTGAAATGCGATTTCGGTTCCGAGACATGTTCCGCAGAACGTTTATGATTGAGTGTCTTATGTTTCTCATCCTCCAGCAGTAAATTATAGGGTTCAGGGACGAGTTGAGAAACAATAACGTCAAAGATACTGCCAAAAATCTCTTTGCGACGACACTTGAATTTTCAATCCCCATGCAGATTACAAAGGGCGAATAACATGCTAGTAACAAAATGTACACGTAAAAGACACTGACAGCTGAATGAACTAGTTTTGTAAAACGAGCCATTTCGGAAGTTTGTTCCACTCGTCGTATTTGTAAGGACTGAATCTGATTTTTGTGTCGCCGTGCAATGAAATAAATCCTGATATACAGCACAATAGTGACAATGAAACCAAAAGCTCCAGTAACTGCAACAATTAACCTAATAGTATCTAAAGAGGCCCACAATACCATCAAGGAAACGAATGCATTTAATACCCAAATTGAGATCACCACAGTAACAACACGCTTGTGAGTCACAAGTTCCTGGTATCTGAGATGCAGATGAACAGCTAAGAACCTGTCTACACTCACAGCGACAACACTCAGGAACGAAGCTTGAGAAAATGTAAGACCAATTACCACGAAGGCCTTGTATGTGCTGCATTTTGGATCGTTCAGTTGTAACCACTTGACAAGGAATGACGTGTAAAATGGTTGAACAATGAAACCAACACCAATGTCAGAAACAGCAAGACTCAGCAGCAATGTTCTCAACGTCTTGGGTAGCGACGTCGTTTTTCGCACCGCGTAGATTGTCAAAATGTTCAACATGATGGCGGAATAGGTAGATAAATTGTTGAAAATACAATTGGCGATGTACGTCGATCGTAAATCTTTCATGTCCAAGATGGATAGGCTATACCTAAACCCCTTACAAATAGATTCGTTCATGGTGGTTTTTGGGCCGTAAACCATGTTCTTTCTTCTCATGACATCTATTACCTCTTACTTTCTGTACTATTTACCTCCCAAGACCGCATTTAAACGACGTTCTATTTAAGTAAGAAATTAAAATCTATCGTGACATTTCCTGTCGTTGAACATGTGTGTTCCCCGTTGCCTACGGATTGGAACTGTGAGACAGGTGTTCGCAAAAAACACGAAGCTTGCTAATTTCTAGTAAAAAAATTGATATTTATTTGAAAGCTTCAATAAACTAAATTCTAAGGCCAAACTCAAAACCATGGACCGAATACGGAACAAAAAATAAGCTAATCCACTTGAAATTTTAATCCACTGTGAGAGACCCTTTTTAAGGGTCATTTTGTTCTTAATACATGCATTGACAGCAATAAGTACTAATGAAAAACTAGCCGAATATAATTTCCATCAACTGAAGCAAAAACTCTCAAGAAATATACGCAGTACAGTAAAGGTCAGTATCATCTGCGAATTTTCTGGTTTAAACTGGCCCAAGAAGGATGATAAAGTTATCATTGACTTCAGGCCGCCTAACGCCAAGGTGTAACAACAATGGAGAAGAAGGAATTTGACATATATAAATGTGGTTGAAATCAGTCGAACAGCTCGGTCAGAGATAGCTTTTTCTTTAACTCCTTCGATAAATAATGACGAGTGTTGCTTTCTAAAAGCCATGCAAATAAGATGTTGACAAAAAAAAAACAGATTCCCTGAGGCAATCGGGAAAATCCACAACTATCATCCTAAATTAAAGAAATATTTTAATCCATAACTCATATGTGAAGTTAGCTTTTCCTTTTCTTTTCAAACTTGCTACGTTTAATTTAAAGCACCCAGCCTTTCGATCCATCGTCGAAAGTATATGGTAACTTTAAACCAAGCTAAGCGTGAGCAACCAATCAGAACAGAAGGAAATATCGCAATTAACCCGGCGCTAATAACTCCAAGTTACACATATTATATAGGAAGTAAAATAGTTTGTCTCACGATATAGTCATTTTAAAACCTGTTATTGCTAACCCCTACATGGAGTGTTTTGAATTTAAAGGTCAGGCAATCACTCCATCATCCCTAACAAGCCTTTGGATCGGAAACACTACGTAAACGACGCCTTCACCATCTTCGAACGGGAAAACCTCGACAGCTTCCTACAGCATCTGAATCACACACAGCCTTCCCTTCGCTTCACCGTGCAGACAGAGACCAGGATAAGGGGGGTGGGGAGAGCGTCATCGCACAACGTTAGTTCCTTTTGGAAGTTGCCATGGTGGTCTACGAACAAACAAGAAACAAACAAGCTTAAAATGATCTAAACGTTAGTTCGCTGGACTCAAGAATGAATTTTTTTCCCTTTTATGTGCAATTCAGGATGACAGTCAATTATGTTTTATGTTCTCCTGGGTAAACATAGTTTTGGAGTAAAATAAAAGGTTTAATGAGGTTTTATTTTTCGGATTGAAAAAGGAATGGGGATTTGTCGAGAAAGGACAACTTTGAGGAAAGCGGTTTTTACATATTTTAAAAGCAATCCAACTAAAAGTTATAGAAATGAAGCCTCTTAAGCAGTTTAATGATACTTCACTGACTATCCATTCTGATCCTGAACTTTTTATTATCAGCAATAACGTCATTTTAGGCCATTAACTCGGATGTTAGTTATTTCGTCTTCTCTAAGTTTAAATAAAGTCGCACTCCTTTCCTAATGAAGTATTTCGGTTAATTGTTGCAAACGAAAACCAGCCTCTGGTTTCTCTGATCTCCTAAATTAAGTCGCCGGAGAAACTTGCCTTCTAGCTCTGCCCCATATCTGCTACACCTCAATGAGCTATATATGAAGAGGAAATTTATTTAAGCACTAGTAAAGCTCTTTACACATAAACTGAAACAACAAGCTCAGTTTTCTGAAACGGGTGTTCATTTACAAAAAAATTTAACTTAATAAAAAGACCTCCCGCTTGAAGGTAACTCGCTTATTCATTAAGAGTCCGTTGGATCCTCACCACTCAATAGAGATGCAAGTTAAATTACTCTACCAGTGATAACAATAAGCCCTACTGGTTAAGCTGTAAATTTTTAACCGGTCTATAAAAGTTTACTCAGAAAACTCTGCGATGCCTGCTTTTTCGCGAGAGGAGTCGGGGAAGGGAATTCCGTTGAGAAAGATCATGAAGTTAACTATGGCGAGTGACAAATTATAATCTCTTTAAAAGCTGACACCAATTTCCCAGAGGTTTAACCATGTTGACAAATAAACTTTGCTTCTCCACTGGTCCTTGAAAAAGCACCAATTTTCCCTGAAGTCTGTTTACATTGTATTTACAAACAAGCTAAAATCTGTGGAAACAGGACCACTTAAAATAAATAGCCCTTTTGAACAATTTCTGCGTAAAACAGATCAGGGCCGGGTTGTTCAAAGCTGGGTTGGGATAACCCAGGGTTAATGAAAAATTTGATTTAAAAATCTGAAGGCTTGAAAAAAAAATTCAGCGTAACTCTTTTTGTCTTCAATTTGATGATTGAATGCTCTAAAAACATAAGAAGAAAGTTATCCTAAACGGCTTTTGAACAGAGAGATATAGAAACCTAGATTAAAATTTAACCCCGGCCCAGGGTTAAATTTTAATCTAACCGGGTAAGCGTTAATCGGTCCTCGAACAACTGGGTCTAGGCAATTAAGGTTAATAGGGTGTATGTCAATTCATACAAACTAAAACCTTTTAATCCTTGAGTATGGTGTTTACTTGCGCTCTTATTTCCCCAACATTTCAAAAGAGCTGTGATATAATTTGAGCGCTTATTGAAGCATCGCAAATATAAAACTAGAGACATCATAATGGCCAACCAGGACGAAAGGAAATATCCTAACGAGCCAAAAAGAACTGTAAGTAAAACCAAACTGCCTGCGCAGCAAGAGTGACCAAGTCGCGATTGATTAAGTTTTGCATTCGACTGCTAAAGGGAATGGCGCGCGGGTGACAAACAAATCAAAGGGCGAAGTAAAGCACAATGGTGAAG